AGATCAGATTGGGAAGTTCTTCTCAGGCCCCCTGGCAAAGGTACAACTATCTTTATGATTTGTTTCCAGGCATGTCTGGAAGGGAATTTATCCATGCCCCATAAATATGATAGGTTGGAAATAAACAGTCGCAGGGGCCAGCCTCACAGCATTAATGATGTCAACTCATTCAAGCTACCAATGCAGTGGGTGGCTTATAAGCAATAAACATTTCTTCCTGTTGGTTCTGGAGGTCTGGCAAGTCCAAGTTCAAGATGCTAGTACATTCAGTGTCTGGTGAGGGCTATTTCCTCCCATGGCGTGCCTTCTCGCTGCCTCCACAGACAAAAGAAAGGGGGAAGGAGCTTCCTGGGACCTGTTTCAAAGGAACACGAATCCTCTTCCTCAGGGCAAATGAACTCGGGGTCTGATCATCTCATGTCCCTCCCTCCTCATGCCAATATTCAGGGGTCAGGATGTCATCATCTGCTTTTTGGCAGGACACAGAATTCTGACCACCATGTGCCAGGGACCATCCTAGAGACAGACATATGACTCAGAATAAAGTACTCAAGGTCACTGAGCTCATAAAACGTATGATCTAGAGGAAGAAAAAGTCAGTAAGGAAGCAGTCACCAAAGTCCAACACAATGGCTAATTTAGCCATTGGCTAAAGTTTCACTTTGCAGTCACAGGAACCCCATGTGGGTCTTGTTGTTTGTGCCCCAGCTGCTCCACTTCCCATGCAGCTCCCTACTTAAGGCCTAGGAAAGTAGTATAGGATGGCCCAGAGTTTTGGGACCCTGCATTCATGTGGTAGACCCAGAAGTTCCTGAATCCTGGCATTGACTGGCTCAGTTTCAGCCATTGAGGATATTTGGGTAGTGAATCAGCAGATGGATGATCTCTATTTCTCCTTCTCTCTGTAAATCTAATCTGCCTTTCCAAAGAAAATAAACAAATCTTAAAAAAAAAAAAAAAAGTCCTGGTGCAATAGGCTAGTGGCTGAAGTCCTTGCCTTGCATGTGCTGGGATTCCATATGGGCGCTGGTTGGTGTCCCGGCTGCTCTGCTTCCCATGCAGCTCTCTGCCTGTGGTCTGGGAAAGCAGTCAAGGATGATCCAAAGCCTTGGGACCCCGTACCTGCATGGGAGACCCAGAGGAAGCTCCTGACTCCTGGCTTCGGATTGGCTCAGTTCCAGCCGTTGCAACCACCTGGGAAGTGAATCAATGGGTGGAAGATCTTTCTCTCTGTCTTTCCTTCTCTCCATATACCTGACTCTCCAATAAAATAAAATAAATATTTAAAATAGAAAAAGAAAGCAAACATCAAATAGTAACAGCTGATGGGTGGCAATAAAGGCTGCCTACCTTCGACAACAGGGTTGGATGCCTTCTCCAAGCAGTGGAGGGTGAGCTGTATGCACACTTCCAAACCTGGGGACACAAGGGCCTGGCTAGGGCAGTGGGGTCGTGGGGGCACTGCCGGCATAAAAAGCCTGTCTGGAAAGGAGGTCATGGAAGGTGAGCCTGACAAAGGAGCCAGCTTAGAAAGAGACTTCTGTGCCAAGCTGTGGAGACCAGGCATTCCCTGGGAGAAACTACAATGTTTAATCATGGAAAGGGAGATGCTTCTTCCTCCACCAGTCCTGGCTGCAGGGGAAGGATGAGGCTGAAGTCAAGGTGATGCCCTGGCAAGGCTGCTGCCCAGACAAGAGGGGCAGAAGTCCAAAGGAGACAGGACCTGCCACGGAGTTGGACAGCACAAAAGACCTTTGCATTAACTAACGGAGAGATTGGTGGGTGAGTGAGTGAGGAAGGTGGGGTTTAAGAGAGCTAGCTGATCGAAGCTGGTCAGGACCAATTCAGAGACAATGGTAAATTCACTGAACTGGAGAACAAGTTTGGCTTATGTGACTTGCCTGGAATGAAAGCAAGGCTTTCCCTGAACTTCCCTTATCTGCCCACAGACACACCCTCCCCTAGGAGCCAGTTGTCATGGTCCCCCCTCCCTGGGGCATCTCATCAACCTGGAGAAGATTTAAGTCACAGGGCAGGAGAAAACCAAGGGATAACAGCACACTCGCCTGGACTCTCACTTTGCCTTGAGGGCAGATTCTTCATCTTTTCCAGAAACTATTTGCTGCTCCCCCTAAGGTGCCGGCCTCCCGCTGACTTCTGTACCCTTGAAGAGGCCTACAAGCTTCTAGATCCTACTGAGTGCTAAGTAGTCCCTCTTCTTTCCCATCATGCCCCTGTGTGTGCACCAGATGTGGACACAGATTAGAGAGCTGAGGGAAGCTTTCCCTGCCCCAGGTGGATGGGTGCTCCCACACTCTTCCCTTCCTGCCGGGCACCCTGATGTTTCCTGCCTTCTCAGAAAACGGGAGAAGCAGAGAAAAAGGGTTCCTGTGTAGAGTTCTTGCTTTGGGTTGTCTTGCTGTGTGCTGGGTTAATCTCCTACCATGGGCATTTCCACACACTCTTTCAGTCGCTGCCATCATTGTGTCCTCTAAGGATTGGAACAGAGCGCCAGACGTGCCCGTCAGTCTTACAGTTTCCTGAAAGTCCTCCTTTTGTGCTCAAATTTTGCGATCCCCGCGAGATCATCAGGTGTCTGAAGTCGGTGCAAATGCATAAAGGCGGTTTATTCATGCTCACCTAGGCTCCCAGCTGCCACACCCGCCCAGCAGGACGGGGCAGCAATAACAGCCGAATTCGCATCAGCAGCAAAAAGGGCAGAAGGCCCAGAAGAAAAAAAAGGGCTGAGGTTCAACAGCACAGGGTTTTTAAGCATTTCAGGCCAATGCCATATAATTATACAGTCATGATTGGTCAGTTTAACTGTTAACATTTAAAAAGAGCAAATTGGCAGGCTTTGAAGCAAGCAACTTTCAAAAAGCACAAACTGATGAGCTATAGGGCAGTTAGGAGCCTTATCTAACACCAGGGGCCTCCTTCTTGAGGAGTGACCTGCCAGATGTCCTGCCAGGTGTCACGTAGACTGACTGGCAGGCCTGGAGCTCACACAGCCCCCAGCCAAGCAAGGCAGAAATCACAAAAGCAGAGAACACCTAGGTTCTTCAGTCCCTGCTAAGCAACCTACTGTGAAGAAATCTTCAAATGATCCTACCTTGAGCGGGTCAACTGGTTCCTATAAGGACCGTCATGGCTGTACCCACTCCCCAAATAAGGAGAAAGCAAATACAAATGACTTGAGGAAAGGACAGGAACCGTCTTCATGAGGGTCATGGCTTGAGAAGTTTGTGCTTGGCAAAGATAATAGACTGGTTGACATAGTGGTTGTTTGTCTTTGAATAGCGCTTCTCTGGGAGGGAAGAATGACACTGCTTACTGAAAAAAGAAAAACCAAGACTCAATCCTACACTCACCCTTCCCCAGGCCCCAATAAAAGACAAGTGATAGCAACATTTTTGCTGAATATCATTCTCCAAAATATTCATATTGAATGTGCATAATCTCACAGGAGTGGTTTATATTCCAAACATGTGTCAACACATTATTCATATACCTCCATAAGCCTTGAGTATTGAATGGAATAATATAAGCAGATGTGTGAGGGAAGAAAGTGCATTTCACAGTCTGGAATTCAGGATTCTTGCCTTGGGTCAACACCACAGAGAGCACTTCGGGGAGCAGACACCTCTAGGAGGAGGCAGAGATGAGGAAAGAGGCCACCGGCAGAGCCCACGGAGCCCCCACACTGGTGGGGCAGCGGGACCAGAGGCCACCGGCAGAGCCCACGGAGCCCCCACACTGGTGGGGCAGCGGGACCAGAGGCCACCGGCAGAGCCCACGGAGCCCCCACACTGGTGGGGCAGCGGGACCAGAGGCCACCGGCAGAGCCCATGGAGCCCCCACACTGGTGGGGCAGCGGGACCACAAGAGGCCTAGACAAGGTGGAGGAAGAAGGAGGAAGGCATGCGATCCTTTGGTCTTCAAGAAAGAGGCGTGACCATTAGCACTCCTGTTTGGGAGTCACTCAGTAATGGGAAAAGCACAAGGTTTCATTCATTTTGGAGACCAGGTATAAGACTTTTAGTTCGGTGACTTGGTTTATCTTAGAGGGGAGAATGTCTGTTATTGCTTTGTTTCTCCTTCCTGTGGGACTTTATGCACTCAACACTGCAGCAGATAAGCCTTTTTAAAAAAAAAAAAAAAATTTTCCTTGCTGTGAATTGCACAAAGGCAGGGCCAGCCCTGGCCTTCCACATTACAGCATCTTATTCTGGCACGTGCTAGATGTGTATAAATAGATGCATAGACACATCAAAACGCTTTTACCTGGAGACAGAGCTGCACGGATTTCCCGTTTTGATCCTTTCTGCAATGTTTAGTTGCGGTGCTGTGAGCTGGGGCACTCTCTGAACTGCTAGTTCGCTTTCACTTCTACGCATCAGTGTTGCCAAGGGTCGGTTCTGTCAGAGCTCACGTGGGTCTGACACTCCCGGACTCTGGCGGCGGGGAGCGATCCCACAGCGAGGTCGGGCACGCTGCCCGACCTGCCACACCACCTGACACCTGCCATGACCACCACCTCCTAGGCTGCCCACCGGGGCCTGCGAGGGCATCCCCCAAGCCGCGCCCCCGCTAGGATTTCCCTTCGGGTCAGGTTACGCCCCGTGCGCAAAACGGAGCGCCTCAGGCATCAAGGACGCCACGTGAAGCCAGCCGCACCAAAGGGAGGCAGTGTCATTTAGGTAGCCGGCTTCTGCCCCGCTGGCCTCCACTCAGTCCCCTGGGCCCAGCGCCTAGAGCGCGGACGATGCCCGTGCTCCCCAGCCCCAGTTCCCTCCACGTGTCCTGTCTTCCCAGCAGCCTCCTCTGCCGCCTCAGGAGGAAAACCTCCTGACAACTCGCGGTCTGAGGACTACCACTCCCAGAAGGCGACGCGCCGCCCTCCGTCTCCGCCCTCCTCCGCTGGGACGCGCAGGCGCCCTGAGCTCCGTCAACAAGCCGGCCTGGCGTGGATCGATTGCAGTGCTTTATGGGAATTGTAGTTCTTGGGGGCGCACGCCGGGCCTTTAGTCAGAAGGGCGAGAACTACAAGACTCGGCTGCCCCAGCGCACCGAGCTCGATCACGTGGCAGGGGACCGACCGGGCGTGCGTGCCGCCGTTGATCCGGTGCTGCAGTGAGGAGGTGGTTCTCGCCCGTGTTGTGTGTGTGTGTGTGAGTGAGTGTGTGAGTGAGTGAGTGTGTGAGTGAGTGAGAGCGCGAGCGGGCGAGTGAGTGAGTGAGTGTGTTGGGGGGGCACTCGGCCTGTTGTTGTCCCCTCCACCCTTCCCCCTTCCCGCCGCCGCTGCAGTGGCCGCTCCCTGGGCCGTAGGAAATGAGCGATAACGATGACATCGAGGTGGAGAGCGACGTGAGTCCCGGGGCTTCTTCCTTCCCGGGCGGGTTGTCAGGCGGGGACAGCGGCCGGGGCGCTCCACGGGGCGACGGCCGGAGGGGAACCGGGCCGCCGTCGCCTGCTCCTTCCCCTCCGCTCCCGGCTCGCTCCCCCTCGGGACTCCTGGCCGGAGCGGCCTCCCGGGACTGCAACTGGGGAGCCGACTGGCGGCCTCTGGGATGCCCCCCCAGCCCCACTCTGCAGCCACCCTACCCAGCTCCGGGCTCCGTGGGACAGGGAGGGGGTGCGCCCGGGATCCCATTGTCCGGATCCTGGGTGGAAGGACCCGACCCTTGGGGTCCGCCGCCGTCGCCTCCTCCCGTGACCCGCCGACCTCAGGAGGGGCGAGGCAGAGCGGAGAGGGCTTGGGGAGCGTCCCAGAAGCCCGAGCTGGGTCCGACGGGGAGGAGAGAGTGCTCGGCCACCCCTCTGGCCCCGGGTCGGATCCCGGAAGGAGGAGGGCGGCCCTCGGGACCCCCTGCCCTGCTACCGGATCCCGCTGGGGAGGGTGGGGTAGGGGCGTGGGGTGGAGAGGGAGGGGTGAAGCGCTGACTCCCCTCACCCCCACCCGCCGCTTCCTCCGCCGCCGGCATTTTCTTTCTTAATATTATTGAGTATGAAGTGTTAAAAATAACTTCTATATTTTCTATTTTTTTTTCTCTCTTATTCCAGGAAGAGCAGCCGAGGTTTCAATCTGCGGTACGTCTCCTACTCTCCATTTCGTTTTCATTTCCGTTCAGTTCTAGTCCTTTTTGGGGTCAGAGAGAGAAAAAGAGATTGTTGTAATACTTATTTAATATGGTAGTAAACTCTTCCTGTTAATCGCCCAGGTGAGGTGGGGCCCGTCCTGGGACTCTTGGGGTGGGGGGGCAGGGAGCGTGTTTGCAAATTGCAGATCCCATAATTCTAGATTGTCAGGTGGTTGAGCGGTGAGGGAGAGCAGCTGTGTGTGAAGAAATGAAACGTTCTGTAGCTTTCACGTGGGCTTCCCGCCGTGGCTGTGTTAAGTGGGAGATGAGAAGAAAGTGTGTTTGGAAGCAGGCGGTAGCATGGCTGCTGCTCGGGGCACAGGAGCTGGGAGACAGACTCAGGACCAGGGAGGTTTTGAATCCTTGCCTCATAGTAGTTTTGAAAGGATGAGGCAGCAGTGGCCCAGGCACGTGACTGCTGGAGACTGGTCAGGCCCCACACAGTGCTGTGAGCAAACAGCGAGGGGTGCCTCGCTGGGCAAGGAGAGGTGTTGGACATTTTTAAAAGCAGCTCTGTCTCTGCCGATTCAGAGGGATGCGCCTCTGCTCTCGGACCTGGCCTCTTGGTGATGTGCGTGTGACTAGATGAGGAAAAGGGGGGCTGCCAGAGGCTCCCACAGAAACACCAAGATGTGCGGTTCAAGAACTCGTCTGCTGGGGCGGGGACAGGCAGGGAGGCCGATGAGGACAAAGTGAGGCTGGAGACGGGACACACGTGTCCTTTCCTGAGAGGCGGGCACTCCGTGACCCCAGTGGCTGGCTCTGCGGGAGCAGCACCTGCTGTGGCCAGAGCTTTCTGTTCTTGAAGACGTACTGAGAATGCTGAACTGGCGCATAATTTTTTTTCCGGTTTTCTGAATAATGTGTGGCGCTGCTGGGTGGGGGCCGCCGCTTGTAAGACCTTGACTGGGAGGCCAGCTCTCTTCTGCCCCTTGTCTTGGGCAGAGCAAGGGAAGGTTTTCTGATAGGGTGGACTTTGAGGATGCGGTTGTCCGGGGGGCACATGTGGGGTTTTTTTCCTGGCTAGTGGTTGTGAAAAATGACTTGTCGAAGTATTGTCACATACTCACATTCCCACATCCATGTCCCAGCTGAGTTCCTCTTGTTCATTACGCTCGTCCCCCCGAATGTGGACTTGGAGTTGGTTTTGCCTAATCCGGGTTGGAGGGAGAGGGTCGCACGGTTAGGATCCTGTGAGTGTGGGTGATGATGGCTGCTCGGTGAGGGGGCAGCTCTGTTGATGCACGCTTCTGGACAGAGCTCTCATCCACACGAATGTCAGTGTAAATTTGTGTATTAAATTATTAAAATATTTCCGCTCTCCTAGAGTGCGCAACGCCTTGTTTTGCCCAGATGTTTTTAGTTTGCTGTTCAGATGCCACGAATTGTCCCTTACTTTTGATAGTAATTTTGACATTATTTTGACACATCTGCTTGGGATTTTAATATTTTTTTAGAAATTTTAAAAAAATATTTATTTATATTGGAAAGGCAAATTTACAGATTTATGGCTTTCCCAAGCTATAAGTAGCAGAGAGCTGAATCGAAAGTAGAGCAGCTGCGACTCACCGGTGCCCGGATGGGGTGCCAGTGCTTGCAGGAGGAGGATTAGCCTGTTGAGCCGAGCTCATCAGTAGCAAGGAGAGAAAAAGCAGATCTATTTTTTTTTTTAAAGCAGATCTATTACAGATGAATTTCATAATGTATCAAACTTGCACATGTGTAGGGTTAAAAAAAGGACCTTTTTAAAAAAAAAATTTGGCTGAATGTATCTTTCTCCTGAGATTTAATCTAAATAAAAATAAATTGTGTGTGTGTGGGGGGGGAATTTTCTGTGAGTTTTGCCTTAGGAAAAAGGTCCAGTAAAACAAAATTGAACGACTTCATATTTAGGAGGGCAGAGACCTTTTTTCAAGTTACCTGGAAAAGATTCAGGGAGTCGCCAAGTCAGGAGAGACGGCCTTTCGCGTGTGACGTTGTCAGGACCAAGCCCGAGCCTTGCCAGGGGAGGAGTGCGGGAGTCTGTCGGAACCGAGTGAGGAAGTGAGGCCAGCTGCAGCGGAAAGTGAAACTGACTGGCCGCGTGTTTTCTCTGGGGCCGCTGCTGTGCAGAACAGCCCGGTCTGGCTGTGCAGGCGCGTGCTGCCCTGCAGACTTTTATTGTGTTTCTGGAGGGAAAAGGTTACATCTTAAAGACATGTCTCTGTCTGAAACCGTGATCTCTTGGGCAAGGGAGTCCCTGCACTTTGCTTCTGCCCAGGCAGTGTCTCTGGGAAAAAGTGCAAGGGCACGAGACGTGGCAGCCAGGCCGGGTGCGTCCAGAAACACGGCCTCTGTGGCCGTGGGCGGTGTGCGCTCCGAGTGTCCTTGCAGGACCAAGTGTACACCTCTCCAGGCTGATACATTTTATGTCTCCCGAGCTCCTGGCTTCCCCAGCAGTCGCTTGTATGCCAGAGGGAACAGGCCGAGTGGCCACTGAGGTTGGAATTCACCCAGGAAACCACGGTCTGTTGGCACGACTCTGTCGCTGGGCAGGAGTGCTGCCCCGAGCCTGTGTTCTCTGCTCGGAGTGCTGACCGTGATGGCAGAAGTGCCAGGTTTCATTCCTGGGTGTACTGTTGGTTTTCGAGTGGAAGGCATTCTTATATTTAAAAGAGTCCTTTATCAAGATGCCAGCAGTGTTGAAAGAGTTGATGCAAGAATTCAACCTGAGTTTCACTTCCAGCTTCCTGACCAAGGTAGCCCTCCTCCTGCCTGGCTCTAGGGCAATGCCATGTTTGGATGGGACTGTTGCCAGGTGATAGGAAAAGCCTGGAAAACAAACATCTTAGTTAAATGATGTTGGGAATGATGATCCCAGGCGCTGGGCTTCAGGAGCGCTGCTAGGAAATGGAAGTGAATCCCTTCCTGTCGGGGACCTTGGCGGGCTGGTCTCATCCTGGCGGCCCCTGATTTCATGTCGCAGTTTTCATGTCGGTGGAAACGATCAATCTAAGTTGCTTGCAAATTGAGTTGTATTTATCCTACCTGGTTTTTTGTTTTGTTTTGTTTTGTTTTTTAAGATTCATTTTAGTTTTATTGGAAAGGCAGCTATACAGAGAAGGAGAGACAGAAGGATCTTCTGTCTGCTGGTTTATTCTCCCAAGTGGCTGAAGTGGCCAGAGCTGAGCTGATCCACAGCCAGGAGCCAGGAGCTTCTTCTGGGTCTCCCACGTGGGCACAGAGTCCTGAGACTGCTTTCCCACGCTACAAGCAGGGAGCTGGGTGGGAAGTGGAGCAGCTGGGATTCGGACCTGCACCCATATAGGAGCCCTGCGGTTACAAGAATACTTTAGCCATTAGGCTATCTTGCCAGGCCCCCTACCTGGTTCTTAGGTATGGAAGATGAATAGCTGTCTTTTGAGGAGACATGGGGACCAATGTGTTTGTAGTGTCCTTAGTATCTAAAAAGAATTAGTTTGATAAAAATCACTGTATCAGCTTTCCTGTGAAATGCAGTCTGCCAGTTTCTGAAGAGAAGCCACTCTTGGGTGGGCAGCTCTGTGTTAGGATTGACTCCCTCTGGAGGTATTGCGGTGGGGGGGTGCAATGTCTGGGCCCCTGCCATGGTTCTGGGGAGCTTGCACGTCCTCTCTAACCTCTGTTAGCGTTTACTTCCGCCTGCTATGGGCCTGCCCTCGCAGGAAATAAGGCTGCTGGCCAATGCCTTGAATGAGGAGGCATTCTCTGTACAGTAACTTGAAAGGAAATCATTTTAAAAGATTTCCCTCAATTTTGCATAGATATCTGCAGCCTGGACGACCTCCTGCCTGATGAGCAACTTTTTGGCAAACAAAATACTGTTTGCCTTCAGCCTGCAGCAGCAATCAGGCTACGCGTGCTTGTTAGTGTCAAAGATAGACAAATTGTAGGTGGAGACTTGGATTCTGGCTGCCGGTGTGGAAAGTTTGGTAGAAATCAAGCTGAAGTTGAAAAAAAAAAAATAAAACCTTTGGCAGAGATCTCTAAGCTGGAAGCGATCTGGTGCGGTGCTTCCTGCTGCGCATCTGTGGGCCACTCCTGGTGCTGTGTAGCCCTTGTTTCTGTTCACTGGGCTGCCCTGCAGGAAGACTTTCCTGGCAGAAACTGCGCAGCCTGTGTGCCCCGAGAGCAGGCAGCGGGCAGCCCCTGCTCCTGGAGAGCTCGGGGGCTGCTGCACAGCCCCGAGGATACCTCTGCTGTCTGCCTAATTAATTCCACAAGGGCAGCAGCCATTCTCATTATCAAACATCTTTCTTATTACTGGCAAGAGAAAGCGGCCTGAGCCTTTTTTTTTTTTTTTTTTTTTTTGCTCAAGACACAAGGTGTTTATACCCCACACCCGCTGTCTGCTTTAACCAGTTAGGTTCTGTGGGAGGCTCTCAGATGCCTTGTCACCAGGCGTCTTCGCTGGTTTTTTTCTTTCTCGGCTCTGCAGTCTGGGCCCATCCCGAGAGGGCTCCAGCAGGTGAGGACAGTTAGGAAGGCTGGAGGCAGGGGCGAGCCGGGGCGAGCAGCATCAGACTGGGTGGACCTGTGGTTTGAAAGCGTTTCCCTGTGGAGATGAAGGTATTTTAGTTTTTCCTGTGCATCTTCAAGCCACCAGCAGTGCAGTTCACAGTTGCCGGACTAGGTGTGTGTGTTCTGCATGTTTTTAACTTGTTCCTTCCTTACCTTCCTTACCATTGTCTCAAGAAGAGCTTCTAAGCCGGCTCCATGTAGGCGCGTAGCAGCTCAGGGATGGACATGGCAGCAGGGATTGGTCAAAGATTCCTCCCTTCTGGTAGTTAAATTGGGCTTGGAACCTCCGCAGAAATTCCATCCACTGCTTTGAGAACAACAGGCCCTGGCCCAGGCTTTCTACCAGTCAGTGGACTGCTGCCTTTTCCTTGTGGAGCCAACTTCTCAAACTTGGCTGGCTCCCCAGATGAGAAGCCAAGATTTCTGCTAATGGTCCACAGCCAAGTTCACTTACAATCCTCTAACCAAAAGACTTGTTGTCCATTTGAGTCCTTTCAGAGCCCAGTGAATGGGAGGGGGTGGTGCAGGGCCGGGATGATTTTGGTGTCAGATTATTCCTAGCTCCACCCCTTCAGCACAGGCCCTCCGGGAAATGGAGCACAACTTGGTTCTGGCCTGTTTGAGATTTGCGGGGCTCCCCCAGAAACAAACCGGACAATTCGAATTTTATTTGTAGGAGTGAGGGATTGTGGGTAACCCTGATGCCCAGAGCTTCTGTGCACAGCTCTAAGGCAGGAGGAGGGCCAGGAGTCAGTGATTTAGTTGACAGGAGTATCTTGGGCTACTGCTGGAGACCCAAAGCTGGGTGATTAATTTGCATGTAAATAGGCCACGTTGGGGGGGGATACATTAGGAGGCCTTCTAAAGTCCTGCCTAGCCCTGGCCCAGCTTATCTTTGTACAGATAACTAAAAGGAACTGTAAGTCAGCAGAGGGCCACGTGGTTCACTGTATTACTGTATTTCCTTCCTTCCCAGCTCTGGTGTTGTGATGTAATGCCGTTTCCCTCTGTATGCAGGTCGCTTCTTCAGTTGTTCTCCCCCCCACCGCCCCCCACTTCTCTGTAGTATCCCATTATCCCTGTGGTTCAGTAGACATTCCTTTTTACAATGAATTCGAATTTAGCAAGATTAGGACAGCTCTAGAAGTGCTCCTAGCCTCTCTCCATTCCCACCTGCCCCCCACAATCTCCAAAGGAACAGCGCTATTGGCTGTGATGGGAACCACATGTGTGACTCAGCAGAGCTGCAGGTGAGGTGTTGGGCTTGGGGATCCGGAGGTCACCCGGATGACCACAGCCCCCCACCCCTTCCTGGATGTGACTCAGATGCACCAGGCTAGTCACAGAAGACCCGCAGGTACTTTTCTTCCCCCAGGTCTTGTCTCTGCACCTTGTGGAGTACAGGGATTCTCCTGAGAAGGCGTTTGTCCTCTGCTGAGGAGAGTTGCTTGTTCTGGCTGCTTTATTTTCCAAGTGTCTGGCCCTCCAGGTAGATGACACGAGCTGGTCTTCCCAAACAGAAGCCCTTCAGCTTAGCTAAGGGCAGCTGTGTGTGTGCTGTGATTTCCTGAGATGAGGTGGCCTGGGGTCCTCCCTGCAGGTTAGTAAGGGGCTGTATCCCCTGTGGAAGGGACGCCCTGGGAATGGAGACCTGCTGAAGCACCACAGTGTGCTGTGGAAGCCCAGCTTGTTGGCTCTTGCTCCCTTGCCAGTGGATTGCTTCTTGGGAACCCAAGCAAGACAGGTCAGAGACTTAGGGTGTTTAAATACTGCTAAATGAGCCTTACGTGCACAGATGCCTGAGGGAGTTTGCTCTGAGTGTCAGAAGGCCAGCCGGTTCAGAAGTGCCTTTCCCCACTCATCCTGGGAGGGAAAGCCTTGGCAGGGGAGCCCCCTGGATATACTTTCAATCATCATTGTCTCTTAGTGGTCTCGGGCGCATGCATCTGGGTTTCTGAGGGGCACAGTTTCTGCGATGTGGTCTACAGTCTTACACCTGGTGCCTTCTGGGGGCCTGGTGAGTAGGCCAGAGCCTCACGGTGATGGGCTTCTCCTAGTAACCTGACTCGTCCTCGGGCACCCCCTTCCCCAGGGACTTCTTACGGGGGGGGGATCACATCTTAGAAAGGGACCCACTGATGCCTGTCTGATCACCTCCCAATCATAGCCTGGTGGCTTCTGTCACACAAGCAAGCAGGGAGGCACTGACGTTGCAGGAGAGTCTCACTTTGTCCCCCACAAATAACTTTGATTTTACTTATGCATGAGCTGGATGCCTCGAGCTACTGTGGATGTTCCTGTCGCAAGCCTTGCTCACCCCTTTCTCCCCTTCAGCAGAGCCCAGTTCTGGAGACTCCTAACTGCTCTCCTCGACGAGTCCATCCCCATCCACTCGCCAGGGACAGCGCTGACACCATACACCTCCAGGCCGCACGGCACTCGCCTTGTTCCAGGCCAAAGGAATGGCCTTCCTGACGTACTCTTTCTCCCGTTCTTCTAGGCTGACAAACGGGCTCATCACAATGCGTTGGAACGGAAACGTAGGGACCACATCAAGGACAGCTTCCACAGCCTGCGGGACTCGGTCCCGTCCCTCCAGGGAGAGAAGGTGAGCTGCTTGACAAAACTGGCCGCTGCTAGCTAGGGGCTGCTGCTGCTTTCTTTTTATTTTAGTTAATTTATTTTTATTTGCAAGGCGTATTTACAGAGAGAAGGAGATACAGAAAGATCTTCGTCCACCAGTTCACTCCCCAAGTGGCCGCAGCAGCCAGAGCTGAGCTAACCAGATCCAAAGTCAGGAGCCAGGACCTTCTTCTTGGTCTCCTACGTGGGTGCAGGGTCCCAAGGACTTGAACCATCCTCTGCTGCTTTCCTAGGCCCTAACATGGAGCAGGATGGGAAATGGAGCATCCATGACTAGAACGGCACCCATAAGGAATGCCAGCAATACTGAGTGGAGGATTTGCTGGTAGAGCTACCTTGCCCACTGCTGGGGACTTCCTGTAGGGGACACTCATCTACATCTGGGAAGAGTCGGGGTCAGGTGCATCCAGGTGGCAGCTACTCTTATTTTCTTTGTTCTTCAAAAGATCATTGATTACCTTCCCTGGGTTTTTGTTTATGCTTAGCAAAATAGATCAGATGTAGTGGAGCTGGTTTGTATGATAGCAGCTGGAGTTGTGTTTCAAAATTCATATTGCTTGTAACAAAGTACTCTAAGTGGATGCTGTACCATGCAGAACACCAGATTCCCGAGGCCGGTGGTTCCCAGACTGGCGCAAGAGCTTCTTTCCTGTGATTCAGTTAATGAACGCTTCCCAGAATGGCTGAACCAGCATGGCGCCCCAGCAGCTGTTGCTTATGAGATATATAAAAGAACATTTTAAGTTTGGGAACAAAAGATTTGACAAATAAAGAGACACGTTCCTATGAGACAGGAAAAAAATAACCACTGTTCACATATGTAACAAACATACCCCCCACTGGTGACCTTCCAGAAACCAACATTTTTCCCCAGAGGGGTAGGCACCAGCTGTTTCTACATTCGAAAAAACAAAAGTAGAAGCTTGATGCCTTTGGGTTGGGGGGGGGTCACTCCTTGGAATTTGGAGAACACAGTTGTTGGCAGTTCTTTTCTTCCTTCACACAGAGCGTGGCTAGCTGCTCTCTGCAGCAGTTGGTGACCCAAGAGGAGAAGCCCTGTGGGCTTCTGCTACAGCGACCCGCTGTTTAAAGAAACAGCTGTTTTATTGAGAATGGTCTTTGCTTTACCGGGTTTAGCTCTGGAGTGGCATCCTAGGTTTGTGTAGTTGTCCAAGATCAAATCTGGAAGCATTGTCATTTCCTTCTGTGTGTGCTGTCCCTCTGCTAAGTCATGTGCTTTATGCTCTAAGATGGAATCTGTGTGGCTGAGGCGTGGGGTAGGTCTGACTTATATGAAAAACAACAGATCATATGAATACTTGATATTGCGAAACCAGAATCTGCCATGCTTAAGTCGACTTAGTGTGGACTTAGTTTAATGGCTGTGAAACAAGGTACTTACCTGGACTGACAGCATTCCTGGGTCAGCACTGTGTGAGTCTGCCACAGGAAACCTGGGCAGTCTGACTTGCCCTTTAGCCACCTTTGTGGCATGTGCAGCAGGGCTGTGCCTGTCTGAACTATGGATGGTGCTTTTGCCTTTTCCTCAGTATCGGTGCAGATAGCTCTGATGCACTCATCGGGGAAGAGCTGCGTTCTTCTGAGCCTCTTTTTTTAAACATTTATTTATTTTTATTGCAAAGTCAGATATACAGAGAGGAGGAGAGATTCATTCCCCAAGCAGCCTCAAAGGCTGGAGCTGAGCCACTCCGGAGCCCGGGGCCTCCTCCAGGTTTCCCACTTGGATGTAGGGTCCCAAGGCTTTGGGCCGTCCTCAGCTGCTTTCCCAGGCCACAAGCAGGGAGCTGGATGGAAAACTGGACCGCTGGGATTCGAACCCGCGCCCATATGACATCCTGATGTGTTTAAGGCAAGGAATTTAGCTGCCAGGCCACTGCGCTGGGACTCTAAGCCTCACTTCTAACCAGGAGGGCACTGAGGCAGTGTTTCTCAGGAGTGAGCTGTGAATCACCTTCCTCAAAATCAGGTTTTCTGGCACAGTCCTGGGAATCTGTGTATAACAAGCAGTCAGGTGATTTGAGAGCACTGGAGAGGCGGGTGAGGCACAGGACCACCACTACACCTCTTCCTCATCCAGCCCATTTTACATTGCCAGAACATTCTTCCTTAAGTCCTTATAATCGCATTACCCAGAAGCCTGATTGTTGTCTCCTTTCTTCAAGGAAGCTGACAGCTTGAACCTGGTAGCACTGCTGACTGCAGAGTTTGTCATTTGTTTTGGTCTGATTATTCACTCACTTGCTGTAATCAGCAGGGGTTTACTGAGCATTTATTGCATGCCATTCTAGATACTAGGAGTACAACAGTGAATAAAACAAGACAAAATAGAAGCTTTTATTCTGATTAGGAAATGGTAGAAAGTAAAGGAATAATTATGAGCATCAGGTAAGGGATGCAGATAAAAGTTGTGCCTTTCATGGTTAGGGCATACAAGAGAACTCGCTGGCATGCTGACAATTAAATTAAGCAAGAGCTCCGGGTCTGTCTGGAGGTAAATGTTCGAGGCAGGTACGCTTGGCATCTAGAGGTAGGAGCCTGGGAGGAGTAGCCCCAGGCCAGTCAGGGAAAGTGCCAAGAGGCAGAGTGGCCAGCGTGGAGAGAGCCAGAGGAAGGAAGCAGAGATGCATTAGACACATGTGAGGCTGAGGGAGCGGAGAGATTGGGCAATGGGGTTTTGTAGAGCCCTTTGAACAAAGCCCCCATTTGAGAATTTACCAGATGCTATTCTGACTTCAGAATCCTGTTGTCTGGTGTTACAATTCAACCGTGTGACGCTGAATGGTTGTTAGCGCTAGACAGACCCAGCCCCTTTCCCTGTAAAGAACGTGGCCTTCTTGTCTTCGTCCCCAGCACTGCTGCACAGGTGCACGAAGTCTAACAGAAGACTTTGGTCTTGCAGACTTAGGAGTTTCACTCGGTGTTGCAATCTTTTCAAATGTGGTGTTTGAACCAAAGGAAATTGGCTCATTCTTGATTTAAATTGCTGTAAATGTGATTGTGACATCATGTGAATGTTCATGAAATGCTTCTTTCGCTATATGAGTTTTGGGGAGCTTAGACCAGGTTCCTGAAGGGAAAGCCTTTGATTTCCATAAACACTTAGCATTTGGATTATCTGTCGTACTTGTCCCAATAAACTTTGTTTTTTTCTTTCTTTTTTTTTTTTTAGAACAAAATTCATTATTGATTGGATAAGTTCTAACCAAGAGTAGGAGATACACGTGTGAGAACATAGAGCCTTCAATGTGAGACCCAAACTCCATTTGTTGCCTGAGTTTCTACTCTGAATTAAACAAAGATTGGGCACCTTTTGCTTAAATTAAAAAATGAGTAACTAGCCACCATGTGTATTGTAAGAAGAGACAGTCTGCACTGGAAATTCCATGAATAGGCAGGCACCTCTCAGCCCGCAGTGCTGTCAGGGGAGGAAGCCCGCAGGAACCTGGCCCCAGCTAGAGCAAGACGGGGCCTAGTTGCAGTGTCTTGTCCTTCTGTCACACTTTCAGGGCAAAGAACTCATCGATGTTATAAAACAGAGGTAGGGTACTTTTTTCCACCAGGGGTCATTTGGGTGTTTATAACATTTGCAGGCCATGTAAGTTCACCAACTTAAAAATTAGCCTGCTGTGGATTATTTTAAGTCCCAATAATTGTTTTTTTTCTTTAGTGGACCTCATATGGCATGTGGTCCAGGTACTCCCATCCCTTGTTTTAAAGGAATCTTGCTTAAAAACTTTTGTCTTAGAGCTTCCCTGGGCAGTGCCCATCATCTGTATGTCACACTGGTGTTCCGGGTTATATGTATGTGTGACTGAAGTGCAGCACAGAGGATGGCTTCCAGAATACATCAGTTCTTAGAATCTTCCTAGCTGCTCTTAGCCCCCCAAAATAGACCACAGCAGCTGGGGGGACCTATCTGGATTTTGCCACGAGTTCTAGAGTTAGCAAGCAGACCTTTAAACTTGATGTGCTGCTTCAGTCTGCTGTTTTTGTAGCTTTGCAGCTGGACAGGGAGCCTACTGCGAAATTGGATGAAATTGCAACCATCAGCTTATCAACCAGTGTCACAGGGTGAGGGCGAGGCGAACGGTGGCCCTGTTTTTTTTTTTTTTTCTTTTACAAGGGATTGTTATTTTTCCTGACCAGAAATGTTTATTTTAAGAGTCTTTGGTTGGGTACTAGGAAGTGTTACCCCAGGGGATTATTGGCACTGAGCTCTCTGTTTTCTTGGAACAAGACCTGGTGGTGGTCCCATCAGTGAAGGTGTGGTTATGGCCTCCATCCCGTAAGTTAGCTGTTGGCGCCTGAGCCACAATGATCACTCCCGCCGCACTGTCTCACCTCATCACTGTGCTGTTAGCAGTGATTTGGCATTCATAGCTCCTCAGTAGTTTAGAGCACATTCTTGTTGTTATTTTTTTAATATTTATTTTTATTGCAAAGATTCACAGAGAGAAGATGGATGACAGAGAGAAAGATCTTCCGGCCACTGGGTCACTTCCTAATGGCCACAACAGAGCTCAACTGATCCGAAGCTGGGAGCCAGGAGTTTCCTCTGGGTCTCCCATGCAGATGCAGGGTCCCGAGGCTTTGGGATATCTTCTGCTGCTTTCCCAGGCCACAGGCAGGGAGCTGGATGGGAAGTGGAACAGCCAGGATACAAACCAGCACCCATGTGGGATCCCAGTGCATGCAAGGCAAGGACTTTAGGCACTGGGCTACAGCGCCGGGCCCCACTTTCTCATCTTCAGCTGCTTGCTCAATGCCTGCTTATAGTGGACTGCTGTCTCAGGCAGTTGTACTCTGGATTTCTGACTTCTGGTTGGAGCTGTGTTGAAAAGAGAGAATCTAACCACAAATGAAACTCCAGGGTTTCTTGTACTCAGCATAAGTTCTGACTTTCTGATTTGGATGTGAGGATGTGTGGCACATGGTTGAGTCTGA